GGGAAAACAACAGAAAAAGATATCTAGCCCAAGAAATCTACAGAAACTACAGTGAAGCTCAGACAGAAATTAACTCTCTGAGCTCTGAGCCACGTGCTTAAGGGAAGAGATGGGAGGGTGCTTCACATGTCACTCATCGCTCACCTTGGTCGTTTGCTGGGTCAGCGTGGGGGGTGGCAGAAGAGTAAGAAAAAAGTTGTTTTTTGTGTATTTTTGCAGATAGAAGAGCCACGGAGTCAAGTATTCCTTTGTATCTGTTTGAGTCTGCCAAAAGGCAGACACCAGTATGAGGTTAGACGTGTAAGATATGGATTGGGGGAAAAGCCTGTGAAGGTTAAAGGAGAGGGAGCAAGAGAAGGTAGGGAGAGCCTCAGACTACAATGCAGGTGGTCTGGTCCGTGGGGTAAGAAGAGGAGTCTCTAACCATGGTGCCCCTCCAGAAACGGTTCAGCCAGGCCAATGGAGAGTCTTTAAGCCAAAGTTATCATCAGAGGACTCCTGCATCTCACAGGAGTGGGGCCTGCATTCGTACACCCATCATGTTCAGTCATTGGTTGGGAGCGGGGCCCGGGCCAAATGCAATAACAGATTTAAGGGGATGGTTTCTGGGAGGCTATCAGTCAATTATGCTCCCTGTGGCAGGAGATCTGAACAGCCATTAGTATGGCTAGTACATCCTTGCTTCAGTAGCTGTGGCTGGGAAGGCCATTTCCCAGGTCCCTGGTGTACAGTAGATAGATACTCTCAGTGAGAATCACAGACAGATTGAAAGAGGTCAGCTCTGTATGGGACACTCTCTTCTGTCCTCTCCTTCCTCATGCCATGGGCTTTTCATATAGATATGTCTTTACCAGACTGCTCATTAAAGCTGTGTAGTCTAGCTTTCACCCTCCTCTTCCCTGTTCCTGGCATTCAGACCAGGGATTGCTGAAACTAGAAAGAAAGTGTCTGGATGGGTCTATGAAAACCAGATGAGATAAGAGGCTTCCTTTAGGATACAGGAGTTGTAAGAAGGCACCGTGGGCTGGAGATCAGGAGTCTTGGGTTCTAGTTTGCTCTGAGTTGGGACAAGGCCCTTCCCTACTGCAAGCCTCAGTGTCCACACTTATCAAGTAGGGAGTTGATGGCAACCAGTGTCTCTCAGAGGATGACATTGCAGGGCTTCACTTCTAGAGACTGCGTCCCTGCAAGACAGTGGTGATAGATGCTCTCTGAAAGCCTCTCCGACTCTTGGACTCTGTCTTTAACTTACTTGACAATCTTTTTTCCCCATTTTTTTTATTGTGGTAAAATACGCATAACATAACATTTACTATCTTAACCATTTTTAAGCATACAGTTAAGTGGTATTTACACACACACTATTGTGTAACCGCCAGCACCCTCCATCTCTAGAACTCCTTTTAATATCGCAATACTGAAACTCTGTCCCCACTAAACAATAACTCCCCACTTACCTGACAGGGGAGATAGTACCATCACAAAGGTGGTTTTCACAAGGCAAGGCGTGTCCATTGCCTGGCAATCTTGAGCAAGCCATGGACCTCCCGTACATCTACAGAAAATGATGAATAGGTGATTTCTCCTCAAGCTACAAAAAATGCTAGGGCAGTAAGGAGAGGAGTAGCCCTAGGGAGACAGAATGAGTCAGAAGAAGACAGAAGATGAGGCTTTCAGTAAAAGGAAAGCAGAGAACAATGATGCCCCGCCTCCCATACAGGTAGAGAAGGAAGGAGACCAGATAGGTAGCTATGAGAGAGAGGAGTAGCAGGAGAACACGAGTTCATTGCTGGTTGGAATGCTAGAATATCTACGTTTGCATCTCTGAGGATAAAATCTGCGGGAAGAAAACCCCAAATCCTGAGCCTTGGAACTGTTGACATTCTTGATAAGACTCAGAGACCAAACACCAGGCCAACCCTAAATCCCATGAAGAGTGAGCTGAGCTAGGTCCTTGTAGCTTTGACCCCTACCTTAATCCCTTATGACTAGAGTGTCTCCAGAAAGAGCTGGGAATGACAGCAAAAAAGAAAAGAAAATCAAAACTCCAAAGCAACTTTTTTTTGACAGATTAGCTATTGATTTTTAGTTTTATTTATTTTTTAATTAAGTTTATTGGGGTAACGTTGGTTAATATAATTAAATGATTTTCAGGTGTACATTATAATTTGACATCTGTATATTCTATTGCGTGTTTACCACGCAAAGTCCAGTTTCCTTCAGCTGCCATATGTTTGATCCCCTTTACCCACTTCGCCCTCCCCTACCCCCCTATTATTTGATCCCCTTTACACCGTCTACCTCTTCCCTCCTCCCCTACCCCCTACTCTCTGGTAACCACTAGTCCATTGTCCATGTCCTTGAGTCTCCGTTTGTCCTGTTCATTTGTTTCTTTTAGGTTTATATCCCACATATAAGTGATATCATGTGATTTTCTACTTTTTCTGTCTGGCTTATTTCGTTTAGCATGATTATCTCAAGTTCCATCCATGTTGTCGCAAATGGCAGTATTTCATTTCTTCTTATGGCTGAATAATATTCCATTGTATATGTGTACCACAG